AACCCAGCAGATCCCTGCGGTGCACTCCCGCACGGCTCCTCCCGGGGAAGGAAGGTGAGTCTCCCCGGATCTGCCGCTTGTTTGGTCCCTGCTGGAGGAGCAGTGGCCCGACTGTGCCGCAGATCACGGTTTATGGCAACCCCGAGCTGAGAGCCCGCGCCTGGGCTCCGCCTCTGCAGCCGGCTTCCCTGCTCTGTTACCTGGGAGCTCTGCCACACTCAGGCACCCCTGGTCTTTCTGTGACCCCGAGGGTCCTGAGACCACACTGTCCCGGAGGGTTCCACCCCCGCTTAGCCACCAGAGTGACGTCCCTCGGCGGAGCAGACTTTAAAAAGTTCCGATTTTGTGCTCCGGGGCTCTATCACTTGCCAGAAGCGGCGGACGGAGGCCCCTCCTCCGCCGTCTATCCTCCCGAATATCGAATATCGCCTCGGATTCACTTCTCCGCACGTCCTACCTTCCAGAAAGTGGTCGCTTTTCTTATGAGAGAGTTGTTGCTCTTCTTTTCTTCAATCTCCTGTTGAGTTTGTAGGTGTTCAGAATGGTTTGATCCCTATCCAGCTGAATTCCTGAGAGGAGACAAAATCCAGGTCTGCTACTCCTCCGCCATCTTGCTCCGCCCCCACCCTCTGTCTTTTGATTGGAATGTTTGGTCCATTTTCATTCAGTGTAATTACTGATAAGTAGGTACCTATTGTCATTTTGTTACTTGTTTTATGGTTGTTTTTGTAGTTCTTCTCTGTTCCTTTCTTCTCTTGCTCTCTTCTCTCAAGATAAGTTGGTTTTCTTTAGTGATATACTTGGATTAGTTTCTCTATTATTTTTTTTTTTGCATATTACTGATTTTTGATTTGTGGTTACCATTTGGTTTGTATATAACATCTTCTGTATATAGCAGTGTATGTTAAGTTTGAACTCATTCTTTACAACTTTACTTTCCTTTACTTCATATCCTTTTATTTTGTGAGTTCCTTGACTGATTTTTATAAATATACTTATTTTTACTACTTTTGTGCTTCCTACTTTCTTTACTCTAGCTTATGGTCTTTCCTTTCCACTCAGAGTCCCCTATAACATTTCTTGCAGGGCTCGTTTAGTGGTAATGAATTCCTTTAACTTTTGTTTGTCGGGAAGAATCTTTATCTCACCTTCTATTCTGAAGGATGGCTTTGCTGGATAGAGTATTCTTGGCTGCAGCATTTTGAATATATCATGCCATGCCCTCTGGCTTGCAAGATTTTTATTGAAAAATCATCTGGTAGCCTTATGTGGTTTCCTTTATATGTAACTGCTTTCTTCTTCTGCTTTTAAAATTACCTATCACTTCTTTTCCCACCTTAACTACTGTGTATCTTGGTGTGGACCTCCTTGGGTGGATTTTATGTGGGGTGGGATCTCTGTGCCTAGGTTATCTGGATTTGTTTCCTTCCCCAGATTTGGGAGATTTACAACTATTATTTCTTCAAATAAATTTTCTGCCCGCTTTTCTTTCTCTTCTCCTTCTGTGATCCTATAAGGCAAATGTTATTACACTTGAAAAAATATATATATATATATTTTATTTATTTATTTATCTATCTATCTATCTATCTATCTATCTATCTATCTATCTATCTATCTATCTATTTATTTATCTATCCCCCCCCCCATCTGCTCAGCTTATTTTCTATTTTTCTGTTCTCCAGGTCACTGGTCCGATCTTCTGCTTTGTCTCTTCTACCTTTATTACATCTAGTGTATTTTTAAATTCATTTATGGTGCTCCTTATCTCTAATTGTTTTTTTTTTTTTTTTATCTCATTAAGTGTCAGAGATGTCTTTTACTCTTAAGTCTGGTGAGTATCTTTATGATCATTACTTTAAATTCTCTAACAGGCATATTACTTATCTCCATTTTGCTTTGGTCTCTTGCTGTGATTTTGTCTTACTCTTTTACTTGGGACATATTCCTCTGTCTCCTCATTTTGCCTAACTTCTGTATAGGTTTCTGTGTGTTAGGGGAGACAGCCACATCTGCACTTGCAACTAATGGCCTTATGAAGAAGAGGTCCGGTAGTTTCCTGCTATGTAGTATCCCCTTTTCACCAGAATCTGCCCCTTCAGGCGTGTCTCCTATGTGTGATGTATCTACCCTGCTGTTGTGGCTTTTTCCTTCAGTCCAGTCGTCTGCAATAGCTTTCTTGGCCTATTGTGGGCAGTGTCTACTCCCTGTGATGTCAGTGGGCCAGCCTGGAGATGCCATGGGCTTGACTTGAAACAGACCAGGCATTTGCCAGAGATATAGCACCAAACTGCAAGGCACTTTCCCTGGTTGTCTCCTGAGAAGCTTTCATTGGTAGGGGTGGGGCCTGAAGTCAGACCAGTTGTCTGCCTCTAGCCTACTACTGGTTCTCTGACTGGTATGGGTGTTTATCTTTCCTCTCTCAGGGGCATGCGTCACATTGAAGTGGTGCTGGCTACTCTACGGGCTGCTTTCACACTGCCAGGGCTGCAGCATCCTGTATGGGGTCTGGTCAAGAGTATATTGGAGAGGGTAGTTCCACTGAAACACAGCATAGGGAGGCAGGGTGGTGGTGCTAGCAAGTTTTGAGTGCTGCTGTTTTTTTGTAGGAGGGGCCCTGAAGGGGTTGGTCTGTGGAAGCTGATAATTTTAACTATTAAAACTACTAGTGCTAATAATAACTATGTTTATGGTTACAATTTATTAAACTCTAAGTGCAAGTGTTTATGCTCCACCAAACGCTATGGTGACACATCTTTAAGTTATCATCTTGTTTATTTATAAGGAAGCTGATGCTTAGAGAAATTAACCAATGTATTGTAAATCTTTGTGTTGAGATTTGAACCCAGGCCTACCTGACTCCTGAACTAGTACCTTTACTCTATTATCCTGCCTCTAAAAAAGACCTGATTATCCCTTTTCTAACAAGAGAAAATAAGACTAATCTGTATTACCCAGAATAAAGCTCATATCAGATGCCAAAACAAGTCGGTTAGCTTCTCTGACTCAAGGCTACAGAGAGAATCTGTAATTCTTGTCTACTTTTCACCCCAAAGTGTGACATTACTCTGGAGCCAGTGGACAGGCAAGTGATAATAATTGCCTACATGTCCATCTGCATGAGTGAGGCAGTGCTTCATGGAAGAATGCCTAAAAGGGTTCCTTTCCCTGAGAACCACCTGTCCCCCCAAAGTGAATAAAAAGAACAGCCTCTTTTCCCAACGAGAGAGATGACTGAGACAGAATATAGGGTTAAGAATTTTTTTCCTTTTTTTTGGTCTCATTTTAATGCCTTAAATATTTTCCTCAATAAAACACACACATACTTCAAATAGGAATTGAAGAAAAGTAGGTGAAAGAGAAGGGACAAAAAAGGAATTGTAAAAGAGCAAATAAGAACTTCCGCAGGAAGTCACCAAGAACTTTCAAGGTCTTCTGGTTATTTAGAGACAAAGGAGAAGGGTCTGGGCATGAGAAACTAGATGAGGTCAAGACATTAACAGTAAGAATAAATACCAGAATTTGGGGAAATATTAAGTATAATGTTTTCTGTGTTTAGCTGCTTAAAATTAAGTGACAGATTGTTTCTATTAAAGAATCTACAATCTGTAAAAAATAATGAACTATAATCAAAATAATTAAAGCAATCATGTGCATGGCACTTTACATGCTGTATTTCATATAATCTAAAAAGCAGCCTTAAAACATAGACTGTACTTTAATGCTTGTTTTATATTTGGAGAAACTGAGCCTTAAATGAGGTTAAGCAACTTGCTTAAGGACACCGCTAAGAAATTGACAAAACTGGAATTTAGAGCCAGGAACTTTGATTTCATAGACTGAACACTTATCTTCTATATTCAGTAGTCAACAAGTAATGCTGTTTTCATTTCTCTTTTCCTAATAAGGTTCTGATATAATTTTAGACAACTTTAAGCATTGTCCTAGCAATATATGCTGGCTGGGTTCTTAATAAGGAAAATAACCAATAACTCTCAGGAATAAAATGCTACATCAGTATCAAGTTAGTCAACCATTAGATGTTAGGGGTCTCTGTGCCCAGTACTATTTCAGAGTTTGATCTCATAGAAAGTATGAATGAATTCAATTCCAAAGTCAATTCTAAGTTGGAAAAAACTAAAAGGTTTTCTGAGCATGGGAGGTGCTTCCTGCTGGCCATGAATCCAAGAAGGAAAACTGGCAGGAGTGATATAAATATAACCAATGGTTTCAGCAGTGGAAATCAGTGTTTCCTCAATGTTGCATAAGCAACTGATAAAGAGCGTAGGGCCTGACTGTGACAACACAGATGCACCTTTGGCATTATCCTAAGTGAAATAAGCCAGTCACAAAGGTCAAATACTGCATGAATCCACTCTCAAAAGGCATCTAAAATAATCAAACTCCTAGAAGCAGAGAGTAGAATGGTGTTTGCCAGGGGAGGGGGAAATGGGGAGTTGTTATTCAATGGGTATAAAATTTTAGTCATGCAAGATGAGTTCTACAGATTTGCTATGCAACACTGTGCTTATAGTTAACAATACTTTATTGTGCATTTAAGATTTGTCAAGAGAGTAGATCTCATATTAAGTATTCTTACAACAATTAAAAAAGTTGCTCTTATGAATGCAGCATAACTTTGATATGACAAATATATTGCAAAGAAAGAAATAGACCAATATTATATATGAAAAAAAAAATGAGCATAGGGCTTGAGTAATTGCTAAACAGACATCCATAAGCCAAACCACATGTGTCACTATTCCCAGCAGTAACACTGAGTTCAACTTGGGAGTTAAGAAGTACAAACAAATTCCACATCCCTCCATATTGTTTTGTGGTGATGTCCTTGACGAGCTCATACCACTGACAGCTGCACAATTAACTACACACATAGGACTTCTTCTTTTGTTTTTTAATCAGAATGCTGTCATGTGAGGCATAAGAAAAATTATAAAGCCTTTAGATTCCTTCATTTCAAAAACAAATAAAATACTTACATTATTAACAGAAGAGCATACTGGTTTCGGTCCGTAAAATCTTTGGGAAAGGACAACTGTAAAGGAAGTTCTTTTAAAGAAAGAGCAAAATATTAAAGATGGAGAGTATTTTACATGTAAAACTATAAGATGCAGAGAATGTTGTTCTTAAATAACATAGCATGCACAAAACTTTACCATAGTCGTCAATATGAAGCATTTTAATTTCTGACTTTACTATCTTCTTCTTCAGGATAGCTTCCTTCAGCATGGAATTGCTTTCCAATATAAAATATTCTATAAATCAAAAAAGTTAATTTAAATAATTACTATATGTTGATCAGGAATCAGTACAACACAACAAATAATCAGTGATTATCATTTGGCAAGCACTGTGTTAGGCACTGATTAAACTCTCATAATTTCTCTCCTGGCTGGATTACTACAACAGTTTTCTAACTGAGCTTTCTTATTCCAGTGAAATGTTCTCTATTTGCCCTATTCTTGGAATTAGCATTTACATTTTCAAAATGCAAATCTGATCGTTACTACTCTGCTTAAGAATATTTAAAAGAATACAAACTTATCTAGCACCCAATAAGATAACATTTACCATTCTGGGATTCCAATACAAAATTATGAGGCATGTAAAAAATCAGGAAAATATTACCTATAATGAGTACAAAATATAATCAATAGAAATAATGTAAATGATATAATCGATTGGCAATACCATTTAAAAAGAGAATATAATTATATCCCATGTGTTTACTAAGGTGAAAAAAAATAGGCATGAGGATATTAAGGAGAAATATGAATGAAATTTTTTAAAAAGACACAAGTTAAAATACTAAAAATTAAAAACTGCAAAATCTGATATAAAGACAATCTAAGATGAAAAAGAGTAGATGGCATTAATAGCATTTTAGGTACTGTAAAATGATTAATGAATTTGAGAATATAGCAATGGCCAATTAAAAAAAATCAAAAAAATTGACAAAACATGAAACAAACATCAGTAACTTGCTGAAATTTTGATTGATATACTAAATCTATAAATTTATTGGGAGATTTGACATACTGAAAAAAGTGAGCCCTCTAATCCATAAGTATGTATGTATATCCACTGATTTCTCTCAATCTTGGGAGAAAGCAATCAGTCTTTCAACATTAAGACATTAAGTATGGTATCAGTTGTAGTAGTTCATCTAATTAAGAAATTTCCTTTCTAGTTATTATTAATATATTGTTGTGTTTACTGTTTTTCAATTTTATCAAATACTTCTAAATCCTCAGAGTTAACAGTAAAGTGAATTACATCGACTGCTGAATGTTACAGCAATCATGGATTCTTCAGGTAAACCCCATGTACTCATAATATATTATCCTTTTATAAATTGGTAGATTTTACTTGCTAGTACTTAGTGAACTTTGTATCTATATTCATTAGAAAAAAAATTAAAGATTTTTTTTTTTTAAGTAATCACTACATCTAACATGGGGCTCAAACTCATAACCTCAAGATCAAGAGTCTCACACTCTACCAACTGAGCCAAATAGGCACGTGCCACCCCCTTTTTTATTTTTATCCTTGTAAGGTTTATGCTGGATGTGGAATCTGGAATGTTGGCCTTATTTTTTCTGAGATTTTGTGTAAGTTTGGTATAAATATTATTGAATATTGCACAGAATTCACCAGTGAAGCTAACTGGAATTTTCTTTGTGGGAAGAATGTTAGTTGAAAAATTTTTTAGTAGATAATATTTATATAGTGTATTTCCTCCTGTCTGGTTGTTTAGCAATTAATGTCTTTTAAGAAATGTACCCACTTCATCAAAAATGTGAAATTCGCTACCATAAAATTACTTACAGTGTTCCATTACTATCATTCTAATGTGTGTAAGATCCATTATTAACATTTGCATTTCATTAATGAAAATAGTGTACAGTTTCTTTGATGACTCTATATAGAACTTTATAAATTTTATTGATCTTTAAAAAACTTTGCTTTTATATATTTTCTCTACTGCTAGTCCGTTTTCTTTGTCATTTATTTCCACTCTTTATTATTTCCTCCCTTTAACTTAATTTGCTCTTCTTTTTCTATCTATTTAAAGTGGAAGTTTAGATGATTGATTTTAAAGTTTTCCTTCTTTATTAAGCAAGATTTTAGAGCCGTAAAATTCTAGTCAGATTGTCAGGTATCTCCAAATATGAATTAGTTATATTTTCATTTTTCTGTGGCTCAAAGTATTTTCCTAAATTATTCTTTTATCTATGTATTATTTAGAACTGCAAGTCTGATAACAAAACATTCTCAGCATTTCTTCTGTATTCTTTATTTTCCCTTCACTTTTGAAGGCTGTTTTCTAAGATCATTTATTCCAGGTTGAAGATTATGTTTTCTTCTCCATCATCATTTAATTAATTAACTTTAATTCCAGTATACTTAATATACAGTATTATGTTAGTTACAGGCATGCAATATAATGATTCAGCAGTTATACAGTGCTCATCATGATAAGTGCACTCTTAATCCCCTTCTATTTCACCCACCCCACCTCCCACCCACTGTCCCTCTGGTAGCCATGTTTGTTTGTAGTTTTTGGTTTGTCTCTTTTTTCCCTTTGTTTTGTTTCTTAAACTCCACATATGAGTGAAGTCATATGGTATTAGTCTTTCTCTGACTGACTTCGCTTAGCATTATATTCTCTAGATCCATCCATGTTGTTGCAAATGGCAAGATTTCATTCTTTTTTATGGCTGAATAATATTCCATTGTGTGTGGGTATATCACATCCACTTTATCCATTCATCTATTGATGGACGCTTGGGCTGCTTCCATAATTTGGGTATTGTAAATAATGCTGCAATAAACGGGTGCATATAGCCTTTCAAATCAATGTTTTTGTATTCTTTGGGTAAATATCCAGTAGTGTGCTTACTGGATTGTATGGTAGTTGTCGTTTTAATTTTTTGAGGAACCTCCATACTGCTTTCCAGAGTGGCTGCAACAGTTTGCATTCCCATCAAAAGTGCATGAGGATTCCATTTTCTCCACACCCTTGCCAACACTTGCTGTTTCTTGTGTTGCTGATTTTAGCCATTCTGACAGGAGTGCAGTGATACTTCATTGTGGTTTTGATTGATTTGCATTTCTCTGATAATAAGTGATGTTGAACATCTTTTCATGTGTCTGTTGGCCATCTGAATGTCTTCTTTGGAGAAATGTCTGTTTATGTCTTCTGCCCAGTTTTTAAGATTGAATTGATTGATTGATTGATCTGACAGAGAGAGAATGAGCACAAACAGGGACATGGCAGGCAGAGGGAGAGAGAGAAGCAGGCTCCCCATGGACAAAGAGCCCAAACCCTGGGATCATGACTGGAGCCAAAGGCAGACGCCTAACCGACTGAGCCACCCAAGCACCCCGTCTGCCCACTTTTTAATTGGGTTATTTGTTTTTGGGGTGCTGAGTTATATCAGATCTTTATATATTTTGGATACTAACCCTTTATTGGATATGTCATCTGCAAATATCTCCTCCAATTCTGTAGGTTGTCTTCTACTTTTGTTTCCTTCACTGTGCAGAAACTTTTTATTTTGATGTAGTCCCAATAGTTCATTTTTGCCTTGTTTCCTTTGCCTCAGGAGACATAATTAGAAAAATGTTGCTATGGCCAATGTAAAAGAAATTACTGCCTGTGCTCTATTCTAGGATTTTATGATTTCATGGCTCACATTTAGGTCCTTATTTTGAGTTTATTTTTGTGTCTGGTGTAAGAAAGTGGTCCAGTTTCATTCTTTTGCATGTAGTTGTCCAGTTTTCTCAACACCATTTGTTGAAGAGACGGCCTTTTTTCAAATGCATTAGCTTGCCTCTTGTTGAAGACTGATTGACCATATAAACATGGGTTTATTTCTGGTCTTTCTATTCTGTTCTATCGATCTATGCATCTATTTTGTGCCAGTACCATATTTTTTTGATCACTACAGATTTGTAATATAACTTGAGGTCTGTAATCGTGACTCCTCCAGCTTTTTCAAGACTGTTTTGACTCTTTTGTGATTTTATACAAATTTTAGGATTGTTCTAGGTCTTTGAAAAATGTTGTTCATCTTTTGATAGAGATTTCATTAAATCTGTAGATTCCTTTGGGTTGTATGGACATTTTAACAATATTTGTCCTTCCAATCCATGAGCATGGAATATCTTTCCATTTCTTTGTGTCCTCTTCAATTTCTTTCATCAGTGTTTTATGGTTTTCAGAGCATAGGTGTTTCACGCCCTTGGTTCATTTTATTCCTGTGAATTTTATAATTTTTGGTACATTTTTAAAAGGGACTATTTAATTTCTTTTTGCTGCTTTATTATTAGTGTATAGAAATGGAACAAATTTCTGTATATTGATTTTCTATCCTGCAACCTTAAATTCACTTATCAGTTCTAGTAGTTTTGGGTGGAGTATTGGGTTTGCTATATATGGTATGTCATCTGCAAATAGTGAACATTTTACTTATTCCTTACCAATTTGGATATTTTTCATTTCTTTTTGTCTGATTCCTGTAGCTAGGATTTCCAGTATTATGTTGAATTAAAGTGGTGAGAGTGGACATCCCTGTCTTGCTCCTGATCTTAAAGAAACTGCTCTCAGTCTTTTATCATTGAGGGTGTTGTTAGCTGTGGGTTTTTCATATAAGGCCTTTATTATGTTCAGGTATATGCCCTACTTTATTGAGGGTTTCTAGCATATTGTACTTTGTCAAATGCTTTTCTGCATCTATTGAAATGAGGATATGGTTTTTATCCTTTATTTCTGTGATATGATGTATCACGTTGATTGCTTTGTGATTGTTGAACTACCCATGCATCTGGCAATAAAACCTACTTGATCATAGTGAATGATTTTTTTATGTATTGTTGCATATGGTTGGCTGGTATTTTGTTGAGCATTTTGGCATCTATGTTCATCAGTGATATTGGCCTGCAGTTCTTTTTTCATAGTGTCTTTATCTAGTTTTGGTGTCAGGGTAATGCTAGCCTCATGGAATGAAGCTAGGCAGATTTCCTTCCTCTTCTGTTTTTTGGAATAGTTTGAGAAGAATACATATTAACTTTTCTTTAAGTGTTCAGGAGAACTCACCGGTGAAGCCATGTGGTCCTGGACTTTTGTTTGTTTGGAGTTTTTTGATTAGTGATTCAATTTCATTGCTGGTTTTTGGTCTGTTCAAATTTTCAATTTCTTCCTTATGCAGTTTTGGGAGGTTATATGTTTCTTGGAATTTATCTATTTCTT